TGGGAATCGAGTCGTCCAAGTGACGTATGCGTGTATGACCATCATGGTGTTCGGCAGAAGCCGTGACCGCCAAGCCGACGCCCGGGCCCCATCCTCAAACTCCGCCAGCACTCTTCGATGCCTTTCACACGCTGTCATCTGACCTCGTCACATATCTCCAAGCCCATCTCCAAGAACACGCTCTTGACGCGCAATCTCCGGCTAGATACGGTCGCGTCCGCTTGCCGACACCAGTTAGGCCTGTGTGCAATTGCGCGATGTAACGCCGTTCCGTCAGCGCGAGATAGTCGTCGCTATGGCGCCTGATTGGCTTCTACCCCATGTTTTGGCCCCTGTGGACACCACCACCGGGCCTCTTATCTGTGGATGAACCACAAGTAAGCATTGACAAGCTTCCACCGACTTGGTCGCCATGCCTGTTCGGTGCAGCCGACGTCAATGGCCGCATGGCTAAGAGCACGGCTTCGCGCATCCTTCCGGATCGCATCTTCACGTCCATGTGTTTATAGAGACTGTCTGCTCCATCATCTTCTTCGGTCATTGGGATCACGTCGCGCGGACCTGTAGTGCCTGCATACGCCATCATGAAACCCGTTGAACGGCACACGCTGGACGATGAAGCCCAGTTGCAGGCACTTGGACACAAGGGCGAGTTGAAGCGCAACTTCAGTCTATTGTCTATGCTTGGACTCGCTTTCGCCATCTTGAACTCATGGACCGCGCTTTCGTCGTCAATCGGACTGGCTTTGCCATCTGGTGGCTCCACGAGTGTCATCTGGGGACTTGTGACTGCTGGCATCTGTAACCTGTGTCTGGCCGCATCGCTAGCCGAGTTCCTGTCAGCATATCCTACTGCTGGCGGACAGTAAGTATCTTCAGTCAGCTTTCGCATCGTCAACTCACGCATCGCAGATACCATTGGGTCGCCGTCATTACCCCGCGGAAATGGGTTCCCCTCGCCTCTTTCATCACCGGCTGGATCAACGTATCCGGATGGCTCGCCTTGACTACCTCCGGAGGCCTCCTCGCGTCCCAACTCATATCTGGTCTCATCGCATTGTTCCATCCGGAGTTCACGCTGCACGCATGGCAGGTCTGGCTGATTTACGTCGCTTGGACTCTCATCGCCTTCGTCATCAATGCGTTCATGAACAACCTCCTCCCCTACGTCAATCGTGGCGCTTTCATCTGGTCCATTGGCGGTTTCGCGATCGTCTGCATCACAGCCCTGGCATGCTCATCTCCTAACTACGCTTCCGCCGAGTTCGTCTTCACCGAGTTTATCAATGAGACGGGCTGGCCCGACGGCGTCGCCTGGCTCTTGGGCTTGCTCCAGGGCGGTTTCGGACTCACCGGCTACGATGCTGTCGCGCATATGATTGAAGAGATTCCAAATGCGTCAGTCGAGGGCCCAAAGATCATGATCTACTGCGTCTGTATCGGGACTGTCACCGGCTTCATCTTCCTCATGGTCCTGTTATTCGTGTCCGGCGGCGACGCGGAAGCCATCATCTCTGCAGCTCCTGGCCCACTGCTACAAATCTTGTACAATGCTACAAGCAGCAAGGCTGGAGCCGCATGCCTCTTGATGTTCCCATTGATCTGCATCCTCTTCGCGGAGATTGCCATCATGACTACCTCTAGCCGCATGACATATGCATTCGCTCGAGATGGCGGCCTTCCATTCTCCAGGGTCTTCGCCAAGGTACACCCGCGACTCGGTCAGCCCCTCAATGCTCTGATCCTGGCTGCGACCCTAACCATCCTGTTTGGATTGATCTTGATCGGGTCCAGTAGCGCTTTCAACGCTCTCATCTCGTCCTCAGTCGTCGCCTTGGGCGTCAGCTACGCCATTCCCGTCGCAATCAACGTCTGCCGCGGCAGAAAGATGCTTGGACCTAGGGCCTTCGTTCTGCCTGGACCCTTGGGCTGGATCGCCAACTTGATCGGTATCGCATACACCATCATCACCACCGTTCTGTTCCTCTTCCCGCCTGAGCTTCCTGTCTCAGCGTCCAGCATGAGTAAGTTTCAGTATGAGTGTGCTTGGGTATCACTAACAGCGCTAGACTACTGCGTCGTTGCTTTCGGCATTATACTGTTCATCAGTACCTTTCAATGGTTCATCGACGGGCGCAAGAACTTTACTGGACCGCGGGCGGATGTCGATCTCGAGATCCTGGAAGCTATGCAGAGCAACGAGCCAAACGGTGCTTCGCTCCAGCATTCTAAAGTCCCTGGTGACGATATCACCAAATAGCCCAAGTCGTCGCATATAGCAATGTTGCATGTCTCTATACCCTTACGCAATGTCTTTCTCTCGCGCATGACAAACCTCGACAGGCTCGTCGTCCTTGGCACGCAATCAGTGAAAGTATGGACTGACCCCCCTACAATAGTATGAACACAACGTTATGTGCAAGTGCTGAAACGCCACATTCACTACCTAGGTAATCTTGGCATTGTGATTGATGACGCTAAAGCTCCCGCGCCCAATGCACCATATCTCGACCTCTTGTTCACAACACTGTTCCACTCTCACCACCTTTTCCGACACGCTACCCACGACGGTCAACTTTCGTTCCACACACAGCTCCACGAGAAGGTTACTTGTCGAGAGCAAACATGTTTAATCCCATCCGCAAGCTCTTGCGTTTCTGGAGCGCCGCCGACACGAGCGCCACCACATCGTCCAACGACGCATCAACCAAGGATGTAGCGACTGAGAGCACAGCGTACCGCGCCGCCTGCAATCATGCCGCACCTCCTGCACGATACGGGAGCGGCGAGTTCAACACCACACCGTCTCCGCCGCCCAATGCTGCGCTATCAGCATACCTCTTTTCACAGGTGAAGAACACCAACACGTCTACATCACGAATGAGCAACATCCCACCACCGCCATTTCCCATGTTTAGCGCGCCGACTGGCAACTCGACCGACAACGCTTCTACCACGTCGGACGACATCGATATGCCAGATGCAAGGCCGATGTCACCTCTGACACCTCCGACAACACCTTCCCGTGATAGTGATGATGTACGACCTTCGGTTGAAACACCAGCCCAAGAAGACGTTCACGGCGCAACCGCCCAAGACAATGACACTAGCGAGCCGCGCAACGACACTGCACCACCTCCATCTCCGGAACGTGACAATCCTCATTCCCAGCCACCGCGCCAACAAGACCGCCAACAGACGACACCCCCATCAGAGCCCTTGCCAAACTGGCTAGACGAAATCATCATCGAAGAAGACATCCCCGAGAACGCCCTCCCAGTCGGCTACATGGGCACCTTCCGCGGAAGCCGGCACTTCATCCCCGAGTACCCCGGCATGAAACGCTGCAGCAACCAAGTCACGCACCTCCTCCTCTGCGGCCACTGGATCGCCAGCACCGAACCCTGCGGCGCCAACTGCAAAAAACAAGACCATACCCACAAACAGTTCAAATGCCCAACCTGCAACGACATCGTCCGCAACATCCTCACAGGATCTTTCCAGCCCGCGGATTCGATGAGGCTGAGGGAGTTCAGGAAGCAGAAAGATGTCAAGTTTCTGGCTTGCTGTGTCGAGCAGGTTGTGAGGGCTGCACCGGAACTCAAGAATGGGGTTACGGAGGCTGTGGCTGGGTTTCTCTGCAAGGATTCTGGAAGGGAGTGTGAGGGGGCTGAGAATCCTGATCCGGGGGGTCATGATACTATTGAGGAGATTGTAAGAGATATGCAGGAGCGGTATGAGCGTAGGCAGCGTGAGAGGAGGATGAGGGAGAGAGAGGAGGAGGGGAATATGCATGAGAAGAGTGCTAGGGACGAGGATGCGGCGGATGAGAATGGCGATGCGGAAACGAGTACGAAGGGGGATACACCGGGGGATAATAAGCATGGGCGAAATGACGCATCCCCGGGTAACGACGAGAACCACGATACCGCACCCCGTACCAACAAGAAGCGCAAGACGCACCTAGAAACTCACCGCGAACCCATCACGCCCTCTACCCGCGGCACAAAGCGTCGCTCGCCATTCTCTCCTTCTCCCTCCCCCTCTACCCCCACTTCATCTTCAACTTCCTCCTCCTCCTCCCCCACCGCCTCACCCTTCGCCTACCTCCCCAACTCTAAACCCCCCTCCTCACCATATCCATCACCGCCCCCGAAGAAGAGGGTCTTCGAGAAGCCCGATCCCGCGTTCGGCGAGGCCAGCTTCGTTATCGCGCCGCCTCATGTTGTGGGGCCGCTTATGCGGAAAAGACATGCTGATGTTTATGTTGAGGGGGATATTGAGAGGGAGAGTAAGCGGAGGAGAAGTCAGGAGAATGAAGGGGAGGGTGAGAGGGGGAGGGAGGGGATTAGGGGAGATAGGAGTGGGAGGGGGAAGGGGAGTGGGAGCGGGAGTGGTGGTATTACTTGGAAGGAGTTCGAGGCTTTTAGGAGGGCGTGGGATGGGAGGGAGGAGGAGGATGAGGAGGGGGAGTGTGAGTTGTAGGGGATTGGGTCAGATATGTGGAGGTACTGGACTTTGAGAGGTGTCGATGATGGTTATCATTGATGATTCTGCGAGGGTTCAGCTGGTTGAAGACAGAAATTTTCCTTACATGCGAGCTATAACCTTCCTAGGATTCATTTTCTTTGACATGTGAACAGATTGCTATTTCTTTGGCGAATGTCAGAAAACATTTAGCAGTGAGATGATGTTTTCCTATAGAAGTTCACCGAGTTGACGATATGTCAGGCTGGGGATAACACCGTCTCACGGACAGGTCGCATCTACGTCTTCTTCGCAGGCAAACGTCGATATCAGAGAAAATCTAGGTTCAGAACCCTGGCACCTAGACAGCCACGATGCGAATGGCCTGACAAAGTTTGAACACAGGGAAGAAAGGTAAATTCCAGATAGCGTAACGAAAGAAACCAGGTTGAGGGCAGAGACAGTCGTTCAGAGTAGAGGCGCAAGTCGAGGTATCCTTTCTCCTATCTCCGGCGGGGCATGCGGTCATACTCATGCCGTGTGCAGCATGTCGGAACCTTCGGAATGGTTCCGCAACGACGTAGAATAAGTTGACTGCAATGCGATTACCATCGTCCAAAATACAGTCCAAAAGATGAAAGCATATGACTACCAGTACTTACACAATTCTCACAATCCAACTACCGTGTATCGCACTTCGCCGCATACCCCACCTTTGCCGTCTTGTTCTTAGTAAAGATCCGCCAAGAATCCTTGCAGATCCCTGTCACATTCTCGGACAGCCCACCTAAAGCGATCCAAAGCATGTCACATATCAGTCATCTCCGCCCTACCCTCTTGCGGCGTATATAGCTCCCCATGTGCGCCCCTCCCAATGTTTGCCCAGGACCTTCGAATCGACACTCCCCATAATGGCGCAAATGGCTAGGATACGGGCGGGTCCGGCCGCGCTGCGACGAGCGGCTGGTGGCAATCAGATGTCACGCCCGCTTTCACGACCGCTTGCACACCCGGCTACGCGACTGTCGATCGGCGCATTACGGACAAGATGCATTGCGACGAATGCTGCGATCCAGGAACCTGATGTGGATTTCCCTGCGGGTGTGCCTCCAGTTTCGGTGCCGGCGTCGTCGAAGGTGGATGAGCGGAGGAAGGCGATTAAGAACGCGAAACCTTTCTCTGATTTCTTGACGGATACGTTCAATCGGCAGCATGACTATCTCCGCATCAGCATCACAGAGCGCTGCAACCTGCGGTGTCTGTACTGCATGCCAGAGGGTGCGCTTCCAATATCCGTACAGCAAACCAATCTGCTAACAAAAAACAGAGGGAATACCGCTATCACCCCCCGCCAACATGCTCACCACGCCCGAGATCTTCTACCTCTCCTCCCTCTTCGTCTCGCAAGGCGTAACCAAGATCCGGCTCACAGGCGGCGAGCCCACGGTCCGCCGCGACATCGTCCCGCTCATGCAGCAAATCGGCAGTCTGCGCCCGCGCGGCCTCCGCGAACTCGCCCTCACAACCAACGGCATCTCGCTGCACCGCAAACTAGACGCCATGGTGGAAGCAGGCCTGACCGGCGTCAACCTCAGCCTCGACACTCTAGACCCGTTCCAGTTCCAGATCATGACGCGCCGGAAAGGCTTCGACGCCGTCATGCGGTCAATTGACCGTATACTCGAGATGAATAAGCTGGGCGCGAATGTGAAGCTGAAGGTTAACTGCGTCGTCATGCGCGGCCTAAACGAGCGCGAAATCCTGCCTTTCGTCGAAATGGGCCGCGAGAAAGATATCGAAGTGCGTTTCATCGAGTACATGCCCTTTGGCGGGAACAAGTGGAGCGAGAACAAGATGATCAGCTTCCAGGAGATGCTAGACATCATCCGCACGAAGTACCCCGGCCTAAGACCCGTTCCTGGACACAAAAACGACACGAGCAAGACGTACGAAGTACCTGGTTTTGTGGGCAAAGTCGGCTTTATAACGAGTATGACGAACGATTTCTGCGGGTCTTGCAATAGGCTCCGCATTACGAGTGACGGGAATCTTAAAGTCTGTTTGCATGGTAATGCGGAGGTGAGCTTGAGAGATGTGCTCAGACAGGGCAATGGCGGCGAGCCGATTGACCAGGAAGCCTTTGAGCGCATTAAGCAGGTCGAGATGGACCGACACGAGGGCCGGTTGAGCGACGAAACGGTGCTGGGCTGGGGCCAACGCGAGCGCGAACTTTTGGACGTGGTCGGCGCTGCCGTGAAGCGCAAAGCTGAAAAGCACGCCGACCTCGACGACCTTGCCAACATGGAGAATAGGCCCATGATCTTAATCGGTGGGTGAACTTGGTCTTCTTCTTCTTTTTCTCTTCACGAACAGACACGACGGTCATGACAGTCATGGTTGGATGTCGAATGATACCACGGTTGTCACTGCATGGATGGCGTTTTGAGCGATCTCGTTTACTGTCGCTTAGACTTTGGATATTTGGCTATATACACCAATCATATACCCGACTTTATCCTCATCTGAGACCGTCCAGTCTGTGATGTACCTTGCTGACTTCATTTAGGTGATAAACCCTTGTCCAGTCTGAATTCCCAATGGCCTACATCGCGAACACCTTCCTACAGCCATTCCAACCCCTTCCTACCGCGCTCTACTACATCCACCTCGCCATTACATTTCCTACCCAACCCATCCCACCCCACAGCGACCTCCGTTCGCGCCTTCTCAACATCCCCCACCCCCTTCGCAAAGAAAACCTACCAACTAAAACGCCTCGCCAAAGCAAAGAAACTCCTCAAAAGCATCGACACGTCAAGATCCACAGACGCATTCGGCGTCCAACAGTTTTTAGAAGACGTCGAAGCACCGAATGAATCCGAAAACCTCCTGAGGGATATCGAGAAGAAAATTGCGAACTTGCATCGTCGTATTGTGGAGGTTGAGAAGGAGACGCCACTGGCTTCTGCTTCTACTTCTGCATCTCAGGTGCCGGCCCCGCCAGTATTGATTAAAGAAAGTGTGGGTGATGCGTTTGATGCCGTTGGGACGGCGGTCAGTAACGATGCGACGGGGCCAAGTAAGAGGAAAGGCAGAAACGAGCGCGAACGAGCCCGAAGACGGGAACAAGAACGATACCGGAATGAAAAGATGAAAGAACTTGGAATGCTATTAGCGGAGTACAAACAACAAGCCGCAGTCGTCAAAGCGGAAGCAGAAAAAACAGCCGAGATGCGAAAGCGACGCGAAGCCGTCCTAGCGAAGAAACGCGCACTACTTCGCCAACTACACCAACACGAAGAGGAGGATCGCAGGGCCAATCTCGTGCGCAGAACGAGCCAGGAAGATGGATCGGGTGGTTTGGGTGGTTTGCCGGAGGGATTCGAGCTTGATGATGTACTGGATGATGCTATGAAGAAGGTTAAGAAGATGCCGATGCATCCGCCGAGGGAAGAGAGGGAGTATAAAGAGAGGGAGGTGAAGGATGTGGATGTCCCGAAGGCGAAGAGGGTGGTGTGGCCGGTGGGGAAGGGGGCTGTGAGTGTGTTGAAGAGGGGTGGGGATGGGGATGGGGATGAGGTGGTGGGGGATCCGATTATGGAGAGGGAACGAGATGATGCTGGGGATATTCTCATGACTGAATCGACTGAGGAACAGGCGCGGACGACTACCAGCGAATCCACCGACGAGCCCACCATAGGAGAGCCAGTCGAAGATGTCGCCAGCTCCGTTGCAAACGCAGAAGACCCCTTCCCTCCGGCCTCTGGGTGGGTGGGGGAGGCGGAGGGGAGGAGGTGGGGAGGAGGAGGGGTGGAAGAGGAAATCATCAGCGGCGACGTCGTCTCATCCAAATCGCTTCGAGGAAAGATTCCGATGACTACTAGCATATCGAGCGACAGGTCCACACCACGCCCACTCTCATCCCCACCAACCTCGAAAGATGACCTACGTCTCCACATCCCTCCCTCAGGCATCATCCCCATCGACTCTACCCTAATCCTCTCCCTCGACGCCCCCGTCCCGCACCTCCAAGCCCAAATCCTCGCCCTCCGCAACCGCCTAAAATCCTCCTACCCGCGCATCGACAACCTGCCCTACGACGTCTGGACCTCGTCCAACAAACGCACTTTGCAAACCTGGCTTAAAATCTTAATCAGTCGCTGGAACGCGCGGTTTGATCATGTTGATGGTAATGGCCAGGTGGATAAGCGCATTGTGGATGAGAGGGTCAAGGAGGTACTGGATAGTATGGTTAGGGAACATGATTTGGGGAACGAGGCGGCGGAACGTATGGCGGTGAGGTGGCATGAGGCGTTTGAGCTGAGGTGGGATATGAGGGGGGATGCGGAGGGGGTGTTGGATTGGGAGGAGATGGAGGCGGGGGGGTTGGGGTTTTTGGGTGTCGAAGAAGACGCCATGGGTGAGGCGCCCTCTGGGGTTGGTGAAGAGATGAAGCAGAAGAAAGTTGAGCCTGCGCCTGTGAGGATGGCGGGGAGTGGCGTAACGACGCCCGGGGCCATGGGGCGGAGGATGTATTCGACGTCCACGAGGCGGGGTTTTTGGTCTTGGTCCAGGATTTTGGGGACGGAGGGGAAAGACGAGAAGAACGAGAAGAAAGAGGAGGTGAAGCAGGGACCCACGGTAGACGCCAAACCAGACAGCACGACCCAGCCAAAACCCGCTGCTCCACCGCCCGCCAAACCAGTCGCGAAGATCGAAACGAAAACGCACGAAAAGACCAACGTCCAACCCATCGCCAAACCAGACCTCAAGCCCGACCCAAAGCCCCAATCAAAGCGCTCCGCAGAGTCCGTCCCACCAAAGCCCGACGCCAAATCCGACGCCAAAGCAGACACAAAAGATGACGCCAAACCCGACCCTCGCAAAATTAGAGAAGACTCACCTCGGATGCATCGGCCTCCCGGTCAGGGCGTAAGTAAGACCGTCTTGCGGAATAAGAGGAGGCAAGCTAAGAAGATGGAGGATGAGAGACGAATGACTGAGGTACTGGAGCGAGGACGAGAGGGTGGGGATGAACAGATGGACGTCCAAGAGCAAGGGATAGAAGATGAGAAGAGAGAGTTGGGCGCACATGAACATGCAGGAGAATTCGAAACCAAACAACCGCCCCAACAGCCGCCCCAACAGCCGCCAATGGTCGAACGCGCAATCGACAAATTACCCCAATACCGAGCGGACAGTATCAAAAAGGCCGACGAAGGCTTACCTAAACCCGTACCACGGACCCACCAAATCGTACCCAACCAAGACACCGAAACCGACACCGACAAACCAGCCTTCGTACGCGCAAAGAGACCCCTCCAGTCCCTACCTGAACTCAGACGCTCGAGGCATGTTGAATGGAGGAAATTGGAGCGGACAGAATTGCCCGGGCCGCCTAGACATATTGTGAAGCCTCCGACAGACAGCAAGGGCAAGGCTTCAGGAACGAAGTCGCTGCAGGACTTTTTGGATAGCATGAATGAGGTTGCTGCGCATTCGCCTTTTGAGGCGGAACCGAGACAGCAGACTCGTCCTTTGTCGATGCTGGAGGGGGGGATGGAGGGACTAGTGCAACAATCCTCCTCCACTCTACAACCCCCTCCACAGACCAAACCCACCTCATCACAATCCCAACTACAACAATCTCAACTACAGCAATCCCAACCACAACACCCACAACAATCCCAGCCTCAACCGTCCCTCCCCCACCTCACCCCCTCCGGCTCCGCACACATGGTCTCCGTCTCCACCAAAGAACACACGACCCGCACCGCCATCGCCGTCGGAACCGTGTATTTCACGAACGCCGTTCCCCTCCGCCTCATCCGCTCAAACGCCAACAAAAAGGGAGATGTGCTGGGTACATCGCGCATCGCGGGTATCATGGCCGCAAAAAAATGCCCAGACCTAATCCCCTTGTGCCACCCCATCGCTCTAACCCACGTCAGCGTTGAACTACGACTTTTTGGTGATAAGTCGGATCCGCGGATGATGGGGAAGGCAGAGGAGATGGAAGGGATCATGGGGGTATTGGACGGGAAGGGGAAGGGGAAGGGGAAGATGGGTTTTGGGGGTGTGAACATCGAAGCCAAAGTCCAATGTACAGGCCCCACGGGTGTGGAGATGGAGGCCCTGACGGCGGTTATGGGCGCGGCGCTTAGTGTGGTGGATATGTGTAAGGCGGTGGATAGGGCGCAGAGGGTGAGTGGGGTTAGGGTTGTGATGAAGGAGGGGGGGAGGAGTGGGGGGTGGAGGGAGGGGGGGTGGAGGAGTTGGCAGGAAACGTAGGGTATAAAGAAAGGGAAGTGTACGGTGACGAGGATGTATTCTATGGAGTGTTAATAGTGCCTGTCTACTTAGGACCGATACAAAAGCTTCTATGCGGTTAGCCATGACTTGAGGAGAGGAATTTGAACACTGCAGCGATTGATCTGACAACCCCAAAACCTCATCTACTCTCCAAAAGGAAGACAACGGGAAATGTCGTTTCCTCCTATGCGAAGATGTATTGCTACCCCGTTCTTCTCAGCCGAGATAGCATGGTACGCTCGTATTTCACCACACGCCCCTCCTATCCCCAGACCAAGGTATCTAAGAGATTCGCTTACGATCGTTCTGCAATTCCGGTGATGTTTAGTTGTCTCACTCGTCCCGAATTGATGACGAAGATAGGACGGGAGACTTATGGAGAGCAGTGTACATGCACGCCCTTCAACGCAAAATTTGACCTCACCACAGCAGTGCATGAGTCACGATAGCCACATTAGTGCGAAAAAAGCTCACTCAGTTCTAATTGTAGTATACAACCTGCTGGTGTTTTGTCAAGATTTTTTGAAGGGCGTGCATGTATAACCTGATCAGTAATCCAAAGGCGGAGTGGTAGGCATGACTCCGTCGGCGCCTTTGCGACTCCTGTCAGCCTTGCGTACGCACACATGGCCATGCAGTCTGCCATTGATGGAGGGAACGCGCAATACCGGAAACTCTATCATGCTCTGCTATGGCGAATAGCTCGCGCTGACATGTGAAACAGACGCAGGTAAGGCACCAGACGATCTCAGGGCAGCGATAGTGGCAGCCCGATGTGTAGCGCGCCACGTGATTGGTCGTCGGACCCCATATGCCGTGTAGTCCGTGCGGTCCGGGCAAGGGTTCAAGCTAGTGACATCACTTTCTCAACATCAGTGGGGGATGGCCTCGAGACGTCACTCGCCCGCGCTCCTCGACTGCGCGCGATCTCCAGCTGTTCTGCCGCTATGAGTATAGAGCCAGTCTTAGGACCCTGAGGGCTTGAAACTGCGGGTCCCAAAACAACGTGTTGCATGCTACCGTAGAGTTTGTCGGTGTGCCCTCTTAATAGGGCGCATCGCGCCTTCCCAAAGCAGGGTTTGCCTGAATTGCGCCAATTCAAGACGACGACTGCCACGCAATTTCCCTCATCACTGCCACCAAGCGCGCCATTATAGTCCTCTCTTCCCACATCAACCGCACCTTCACCACCACACCAACCTCACCACATGCGCAACTAAACAGCAACCTCATCCCCGCCATGACCAGCGTGCTAAAAGGCGGCTTCGGCTCGCCCAACGGTGCGCCATTAATCGCGACCAACTCCGGCACCGAGTTCGTCAACACCGTGTGCCCACTCAAGAGCGCCCTCGATGGCTACGACAATACGCTTCCCTGCAGCAAGCAGAAGATCCACGTGCCGCAGAACTTCTGCGACGCCATGGCCATCCGCGAGGAAGTCTACGGCGAGCAGGGCGTGCCTCTCGAAGCCGAGTTCGACGAAGACGATGCCCGCAGCTGGCACTGGGTCGCTTATGCTTCCGTCGCCACACACTCAACCCACCCTCCCAAGACACTGCGCCGCTCCGACTCTGGCAACACTCCAGCTGATGACGCCCGCCGCGCTTCAGCCACCGCCACCCGCGTTCCCGTCGCGACGATTCGCCTGATACCCCCGCCCCACGGCCCAAACAAGTACGTCGAGGACGACAAGACGGACAAGCATGCCGATGCAGACCCACCGGGTGAGGAGCAGGAGAGCAAGCACCCTCCCGAGCCATACATCAAGCTCGGCAGGCTCGCGGTCCTAGCACCCTACCGCAGTCTCGGCCTCGCGAAGCTGCTCATCAACGCCGCCCTCGACTACGCGGGGTCAAATCCTGATCTCATCTACCGGCCTCCATCTCCCACCGCGCTGGAGATGGCGCAGATACTCGGCAACAACAAGGAGCGCGAGATTACCTGGCAAGGCTTGGTCATGATCCACGCCCAAGCCAATCTGCAGAGTATGTGGGAGAAGCACGGCTTCCACGAGGAGTTGAAGATTGATGATGGCGAGGTTGAGATACCAGCAGAACCCCACTGGATCGAAGAAGGCATTGAGCATGTTGGCATGTGGAAGAGGTTGCCGATTGAGAAGAGGAAGAGGTTGTCGCTTTCTTCCCTGGAGTCGGGGTCTTGAAAAGTTTTGGTTTTGTTTCTGGTTTACTTACACTTGTTTGATAGGTTCTGGCTTGGAGACGTTCCAGTTCCAAGGATCTACGTCAGGCCATGATGTTCACGCTCATTTCACGTACGGAGGATTCAACATTGCTTATACCCCACACTGCACGATTACGACGATACGGCCGGATTTCAACATTATCTGTTTTTTGCGAATAGAAGAGGATGAAGAGGAAAGACATAGAGGCGTCATGGTACATGGCTATAGACTAGTGACGATCCTTCCACTTCTTACACTTCACCCACGTATCCATTTCCAAGAGTCCCGCGTCGTCTCTCTTATTCTTCCAACCCAGTTCTGTCTTCTAGCCAGCTTTCACGTCTTGGTATTCCTTCGCTAGTGCACATCCGGAGAAGCGAACTCGGGTCCTACGCAGTGCCTGTTGGTATGCGAAACACAATACACATCGGCAACTTTTTGCCGTGCGGGTACTACTCGGCTGGTGACCAAAAGAAAGATGCAGAGGAAGGCGCATCCCACCAGTACGACCACACACCGACCACACATCGGCCTCGTCACATTCACGGAACGTGGGCACAGTAATACAAACGGCACACTAAAGTTCTTCCCGTTGTCAGAAACCTTTCACTCAATGCTTCAATTTGCAGAAGTAGCAATCCGGTACCTCGCATACCTCCAGGTCTCTTCCTTTTACTTCCGTGCGTATATGTATCTGTCTGCCTGGCCTACACTGCCGGCCTTATCACATTTATGAAACGTGAGCACAGTTATACAAACGACACACTAAAGTTCCTCCCGCTTTTGAAACCATTCACTCAAATGTTCCACTAGATCACATCGCAAACAGAGCAATCCGGTACCCTGCATCCTTCCCGTCTCCTCCCTTTCCTACCCACGTCACAACGGAAACCCGCTGCTGCTCCACCGCTTCACCAATATCACTTCGCACCACACTCGCTTCAATGTCCTCAGACACCCCCACCAAACCCGCCTTCAAAGCCCGTCTCCTCAAGCTCCTCCGCCTATGCACTCGACCTGCCGTCATGCTTCCCTCTCTGGGCATCATCGGCCTCATACTCGTCATCACACTCACCGTACTCCTCCCGCAAAATGTCCACTCCATCGAAATCCCCGGCGCGGACAACAACCACAACTACCAAGTCGCCGTCTCCCACTTCCCCTTGACAGATTCCACAAAGAAGGATGCTTACCACCCTGATGGAGACCGTAGGATCATGGTTAGCTTGTACATGCCTGTACCCAGGAAACAGTGTTCTGCAATGGGCACGCAGGAGTATATGCCGCCGCAAACCGCGAAGATAGCAAACGAGCAGTTTGTTGAAGGCAACGAGCGTGACGCCGGTGTCTTTGAAACAATGACATACTCGTCTTGCGTTAGTAGTAATGGTGGGGGCGGCGGCGACGTCAGCAAAGTCCCCGTCGTAGTCCTGGAACCACACGTCGACACGAGCAGGTTGATGTACTCGACAATGGCGCGCTACATCGCGGCTAATGGCGCTGCGGTCGTAGTCATCGACCACCCTGGCGACGCGTCAATTGTCCAATTCACGTCTTCGCGTACCCGCGATTTGGAAATAGTTTATAACAGCGGGACAGTGCCTTTGTCAAATTTATCTCCTATTGCGGAGTATAACCAAACCGTCGAAACCGCAGTCGAAACACGCATATCCGACATCGCATTTACTCTCTCGCAAATCAACAGCACTTCCCTACTAACCCGCCAATTCCCTTCCCTCCACTTCACGGGCTCGCTCAACACAGAGTCTTACGGTATCATTGGCCACGGTCTCGGCGGCACAGTCGCAACCTCCCTCGCCCTCTTCCCCAGCCTCCTCTCCCCAACCCTCCCCAACACTACAAACTCCCCCACAGCGCGCTTCTCCATCTCCCTCTCCGGCACACCGCCCCCTCTCAACACTTCCACAAACAACACCCCCCTCTTCTTCTTCGGCCGCGCAGACTTCCGCCGCGAACACGACATCAACTGGCCGACCACATGGTCGCACCTCACGGGTCCAGCGACTGAATTCGATCTCGACGACTCTGCTATTTTCGATGCGAGCGATCTCCCTCTCGTTGTTGAGCTAGCGCGCGTGGAAGGAGGGAAAACGGGGGCGGTGGGGAGGGGGCTTAGTGGGAATAGGCCGGCGGAAGGGGCGAGGGCGGTGATTTGCTTTTTGGAGAATATTGTCAAGGAGATGGTGGGGTAAGTTTTTTGGGATGAGATGGCGCTGGATGTGGAGACGAATGCTGACTTATTGTTAGGCTTGATGGACAGGGGAGGAATGTTGGGGATTGTATTAGGATGTTTCAGGGGGTTAGGCCGTATCCGGGTTATGGGAAGTAACGGGGGGATAATCCCGTAGTACGCTGATTTCGCTAATAAGGGTACGAGCATGCGTATTCACGTTTTAGACACATGGTTATTGCACATACGAAGGTGAGACTCTGCTGTTGTGTGAAGATAGTCTGCTCGAAATTGACATCGCGCATAGTACTCATGTGTCGCCGGATCTGTCTAAGCATCGCTACATCCTACTCCTGCACTACCCTTCTTGAACGCTTCTTGAATGTTGTTCCATACAATGCGAGAAACTCATCGAACATGTCGGTGAAGGTATCTATCACGAGAGCCTCTATCATATCGCGATCGGTCATTATCCAATCGGCAATGCATTCATACGTTTCCAGTACGCCATTCAATATGATGAATTCGCTCAGAACCAGCCATACTTTGAACGAACAGCTTAAAAGTAAGCTGAGTATAGGTCTGAGCGCCTCTTTCGTACCATTTTCGACGTCGAATTGACCGAAAAGTGCCCTGAGCACCAGGGACAAAGTCCAGGCCCAAAACTTGGGTACACAACTTGGAAGTGATGTATTTTGTTTGAGAAAGTATTTCTGATACAGTTCACCGACCTTGTTCAGCATCACTGCGTCCATCCCAAGAATTACCGCCATCCTAGCAGGGACATGTGGCTTCGGTGAGGGAAAGCGCTTGACTTGCTGATGAGACTCCAGGGAGGGTTCGTGATCAGTCATTGTTGTCGTCGCTTGTCCTGGTGTAGAATGGCTCTCATGACGTTCCATGAGTTTCTCTCCAAGGAATCCAAGCCGACAAGATCGAAAGTCATCAGGCAATAGCCTGGATGTTTGCGAGAATGAGCTAAACATGTTCACCTGTATACCCATGTCATCCGATCGCCTTGCTTCGTTAGACCTGCGGGTCTTGCCGAAAATATTGCGGTATATATGGAATATGTGATGCTTGAAAAGGTCCAACAGTTCCTTCTTCGCACGGATGTCTACCATGGGATCATCTTCCATATTGGAGATTCCTTCGTACCAAATGTTGAGACACATCATCATATTGTCGTATCGTTTCGTAATGAAGAGACCTTCGAGATCCTGTAGCACAAGTTGATGCCAATGGCGGTGAAGAATATCATGGAAGTCTAGTGCGTCCTTCAGGTATGGCCTGAAGAAGCATATTGCATTTTTCAACTTAACCATGCTAAAAGAGTAACTCCAGATTGTTCCATGGTTGCAAGGATCCGGGTCAAATTGTCTGACGTTTAATGGCTCGAACATGTCTACAAGATCGCGAACATGTAGACCGAGTCTTCGCATGAAGTCTGAAACGAATTGACTGGTGACGCGATCAATTATCACAGGATGCAAGCCGTCGTTCCATTCGAATTTCCGAGAGCGAGGAAGGCTAGATGTTAAGCTAGCTAGCGTCTCTGAGCTTGATAGCCCTCCTGGTGGTATATCGGTGTAGATCGCAATCTCAGAAAATTTGTTCCGAATAGTGCATGTAAACTTGGGAAGCCTTGTGCGATCAGAGTACATCCTCAAGATTCTCTGACACCGAAGGCAAACACCATCAGCTAGAAGTTCGCACTATCGAGTGAGTCAGCGACAGATGCAAGCCTATGCTACTAAAGAAGACACACACCTTTCGTTTGCTGAGGCGACATCCAAAGCAAGACCAGTCGCCCTTGTTTGGACGCTTACTGTAAGTTCTTGGCTGGGTCCTTTGACGATGACGATCGGCTTCTGGGCTCGTGTGGAATTGGATGTTGTCCACTGCGCGGCCAGGTCCTGTAGCTGTAGCGTATGGGCTAGTCGAGATGCCTTGTCTCCATTTGCCACGCCCCGCTTGACTTCTGATAGCCCCAGTAAAAGCTTGGGGGCCGATAGTGCCAGTCATTTCGACATCGCTCGTGGCCGAATGGTTGATCATCGGAAAGGATGGTAGCTCACTTGCTACCGCGGCGGATGATAGATCAGCGGATACATCGACGTCTCCATTCCATAAGGGTTTCGGAGATTGATCCGTCGTATTGTGAACATTGTCGTTGGCCGCATTCATCCGCAGCTGGCTTGCAGTAGTAGCTACCGCTCCGAAGTCGCGCAGTGGGAGACTCTGTTGACTGGAATGAAGTTGTGTAGTAGCAATGAAGGAGGGAGGATGGCATCCTTGATCGTATGGGCTCAACACAGAGGATATCGTGTTGTAATACGATGACGTTGGTACCATGTGATCAAGAGATGGCTGCTGGCCATATGCCGAGTGTTCCAAGGCATTGTAGTCGAGGTCTCGGACGTTCAGAAAGGTATTGTACTGCTGGCCATACCCTCCAACATAATCGCGTGTGGAGTTCGGATAGACGGCGGTCTGCGATAATTGTTGTGCTGGCCACAAGCTGGCGTCGGCCCCATGTGCACTGCTATTTTTGTGCAGATTAAAGCCGTGATTAGGTATCTGGGGTAGGCTCACGGGCATGTTAGAAGTATCATATAGCCCAGCATATCCTGTCGCGGCCTCATCGCTCGCAACGTATGGATAGCTTGTCGCTGCCTCTTGTAAGTGTAAGATCGCTGGAATCGCCTGCGCCTTCTCAAGAATCTGGTAGCGCGCTACTTCGTGCTGCCATTCTACTTCAGCAAGCTGTCGCTGGACGTCTTCAGATAGGTTTGCCTCAATCGCTTGGGTGTGTCCTGCGGGTTCCGCAAGAAGCTGATCAGGTTGGCATGGTATCGACGACGGTGACGGAGGTATGTACTGTAGGTCGGTGCTCGTCGATGGATCACCAAGCATCTGGAGATCGGCCATATGCGGAAGAGGGTATGCAACATCTTTGTTGGCCACCGTAGGAAGCGATAGATTGGGTGGTCGATGGTTTTGTCTGATCGTGACTTCCTCGCGTTGTTCGGCTGCAAGTTCGCCATAATCCATGACGTTGACTTGGATGCCTACTTTATGAGATGCGGATAGACGCTGGGCTCTTTCGAAAGAAGCTTCGGAGATCCCAAGGGCAGAGGTGCGAAATGCTGATGAGGTATCGTGCTGATAGAGAGGTGCGCAACTGTGTGCAAGCACTCAAATAATTGAGGTGGTGGGCTGGAATGCGACATGCTGATAGAATGCCGAAGCGTCGTTTTATAAACTGACAAGGTGAGAACCAGGTCTGTTGAGAGACAGGCAGACATCAAGGGCCAAGCCTGAGTGACAGAGGCTGAGGGACGTCGGTAACAGCTTCCGCATCCCAAAGCAGACTAGACTACGCCATCCTTCACGCTCAGGCCATGCTTCCGCAGCCAGAACAGTCTTAGCGCTGTTTCGGGCACTCACTAGCGCGATATCATTACCAGCACTCTGCAGTTCCGCAGCACGAAAGAGACTAGCACCATCAACATGCGAGGATGCTCATCGTTCCGCAACCGCATACGGATGCGCAAAGGAATTGAGCCCCTAAACCTCGCGATGTCGCCGCGCACAGCCTTCGTGCCTTCTTCCCGGGCAAACATGTTCATACCCAGGTAGATAAGAACACAAAAGCCCGCAATGTAGTAAAGGACAGAACGACCCCCGAAGGATCACAACCTATCATTTCCGCCCCCACACCCCTTACCACGCCGCACGGGAACAGCAGCCAACATCCTAGCTATGTGGACGAGATCAGACGTCTTGGCACTCCTTCAGCTTCTTGCTATGATCATCTTTGCGAGTGTGCATGCTGTATGGTGTTTGACCATCCATCGAGGTACGCCCTTGGACATCCTGCATTCGCGCGGACTGATGTACTGACATCGATCGAGTTACTGTTCGACGTAGCGCGCCCGTCCCAGCATCAGGTGCTAGGAACAGGAGTAGAGGCGGGATACAACCACAGCCACAGCCACGAACCCTGTCGCAGCTACAGCCACTCCCACAGCCACGCCGATGACCTCTATCCTGAGTGTCGCGCATACATGCACTTCCACCAGCGACATCAAACAAGAGGCGATTACACTATGTGCTACACAGCTCCATGATATCAGCTGCATGTGTTGTGAAGACGGATGAAGGAGCTGATGATGGGTACCTCAAGATCTCGTGTATGGTGACAGCGCCCAACCACAATTTAGCAGTCAAATTTGTCGCATCGAGATGTAGAAAAACTATGATAGTATTAACCTGTATCTCTACTGTCTACATCTCTTACCCCGACTATAAGCCATGCGATATCTTCGTTCGTTGTGCCCATATACTTGCATACTCATTTTAACGACCGTTCAGCCTTGAAATTTCCTTCTCCAGATCACATCGTCGACCCATGGCTGATCATGCAGTGGAGTTCGGAACGGGGCATTCCATGTTTCGAGGGGGATGATTACTGGTGTTAATATTGGATGCTTTCTTGCTCTCTTAGCCACAGACCATCCCATCCCTCGGCTCCTCAACAACCTCCTCCTTCCCTCCTTTCCCTCCCTCTTCCGCATCCTCCCCACCCAAAACCCTCTCCTCAACCCGCCCCCCAGGCACCAACCCCACACTCCTCTCCAACCTCTCCTCCACCCTCTTCCTCTCAGCCTCCTCCTCCACCCTCTTCCTCTCCTTCTTACCAACAGTCATACTCCCCTTCTCCAACGCCTCTTTAGGCAGCGGTCTAACATACGGCTGACACACCCAATACGGCCTTTTGACCCTCGCAACAGTCGCCAGAGAACTCTCATACGGATCCAATTCCTGCTCTTCTTTTGCGTCCTTCCCATCCACCTTCCCCTCTTTCTTCACACTTTGGGCTTCAGTGACAGCGTCGTTGGCGTGCTCCTCCTCATACCCCATAATCCCCTCCTTAACCGCCCCCTCAACAAGCCTCAACACATTCTCAAACGCCTCAATATCGCCCGTCCGTGATCGGGCAAGCGCGTCGCGTACGTT